TGTATGTTTACTAAATCAACTTTACATATATTCCGACATTATTCATTACAGGATGGCACAGAAGGATCAACACACGAGCAGGACGTCTACATCGTAAAAGATACGCCCGAATCCATGGAGCCTTATTCGACGCCTGGGACAAGTACGAAGATGATGAGATGACTACTTCCCAACTACTGAGACTGTGCAGCCACATTACCGGAATAGGATACAACAACATCAACGACGGGATTTATGAGGACGATTTTTAAGTGTTATGTATAAAAAGCGATGAATAAAGAATAAAAAATATTGTTGAATACTACGTAAAAGCCATGGTGTATACTCTGTAATACTATGCATGCTTATAAAGAGATGAATGAAGAATTAAAAAATATGCGTTGCTTATTACTACAAAATAATGGTATAAATTTTATTCCAATAACAACATTGTTCCTTCTTTTACTATTTGTGAATATAGGTTGACATTAGTCAAAATATATTTTACAGGTTTCACTAAATGTGTATATATTTGGATCATACTTAGACTGCAAAACCGACAGATTTTACAAATTGATATTACACAGATGTCTGCCTTTACAAGGAAAACCGGCATATACGCCTACAATTTTTTGGTCTTGTCACGGCCGTTACGTCTCTACCAAATGGGGCACATTCTAGAATATTTCAGAATAATTTTATTTTGACCATTATAAATTATTATATATATCTATTTAAAGTCGAGCCATTTCATTTTGGGTCATCTTTTTACAATTTGAATAATTATTCTGGAAAAACGAAGCGCGCAAATGATCTAAAGGATTGTACAAAGATTAGTGTTCTAAACATTCATCAAATGGTACATTTATCTGGAAAAAATATTTCAGTCCCATCATGACAAAATACCTCAATAGAACCCCTTTAAATTGAATTACACTTTTTTTAAATGTATGGGTAAATTCCATTTTCAGTGGTTGAAATGTTTCTTCTTTTCTGATTAATCAAGCTATATTTTCCCATTTATAAAGCCACAGGTTGTTTTGAAAGTCGAAAAAAAATCACTGCCACCTTGATAATTGTTAACCTGAAAAATCTTCAGGCACTTTAAGGGATTTGAACCCCAGACCTCTTGATTACAAGGCAGACACACAACCATGTCGCGAAAATGTCAACACAACAGCAAGACTGTTGGAAATGATCTATACCTGTTCTCAATACATGGTTGAAGTAATTTATCAGTGTTAATTAGACATTTTATATGATTTAACAATTTTTGACACTACTGATATTCATATTTTTTTCACAAATCTACATGTAAAAAATAGATATCATAATAAAATGATAGAACATTTTCTATTTTAGTGGTAATACTGCGGAGTAATATGAAGAAATATTATTTATATTTTATTATCATAAATTTTTCAAATTTTAATTATCTCATTACATGCTGTACACAATCATATTATAGTGTTAACATATAATTGAGCCGTGTCATGACAAAACCAACATAATGGGTTTGCGACCAGCATTGATCCAGACCAGCCTGCGCATCCGCGCAGTCTGATCAGGATCCATGCTGTTCCTTTACAAACCCTATTACAAGTAAGGAAACTGATAGCGAAGAGCATGGATCCTGATCAGACTGCGCGGATGCGCAGGCTGGTCTGGATCCATGCTGGTTGCAAACGCACTATGTTGGTTTTATCATGACACGGCTCATATATACATTGTATAGACACATATATACATTGTCTATACCAGAGACGTTAAAATACATAAAATATATTTATATGTCTCTGTATATACACACACAAAGAGAGTAGTATTGGATGATTTTGAAAATGAAATCTCTAACTTGATATTTTCAGGGAAATAAAAGATTATTTACTTTAATATTGACTTGGAAAGGCTGGTACATGTAGCTAGAAAAAAGTACAGTATAACATTAAAGAAAGACTAGAAGATTATTACAAACAACAGGTACTTATATAATATTTAATGTATATTTCACAAACCAAACTGTTTTCAAAAAAAAAAATAATGAAAACATGCATTTTTACCAGTGTCACCACGGGTCAGATTAACAGACCCATTCCCAGTGGCAAATAATGCCAAATTATGCTTTATTTCTTTTCCAAGTTTAGAAAAAAATCATAAGTCAAAATTCCCGTTATCAAAGCTGACAATTTTTCTTCATTCCACATGAAGAAAAGAGGTGTTTTTTTACACCTTAGTCTAGTTAAAACAAGCGACTCACAGGGCAGGACCAATTTTGACCTGATGGACATGACCGATATAACTTTGCAGTTGTAGACATCTACAGATTGATGCTACATGCCAAATACCTAAATTCTTGACGAGGCAAATATTGACCTAAGACATGATTCATACCAGTTATGTTGTGGTTCACAATGTGATGTTCAATGCCAATTACCGAATCATTTGTCACCGTAGTTTCACATAATAAGTATCAGTTATAATTTTTATATATAAATCCCTGGGTAGGAGCCAATATTGAACCAAGGGACATGATTCAGATCAGTTTTGTAAAGGACAACCAGGCAATGCTACATGCAAATATCTAAGCATCTATACATTGTAGTTTCACACAGTGGAACTGAAATGTGTCTTCATATATAAGTCTATATAATAAAGTTATCCACTGAGTGTAGCAAGTTTGTTTCGCGGGAACCCTGCACCTGTGTTCTGTACACCGTCTCATTATGAGAATAATTCCCCCAAAATGTTTTAAGTTATTTCTATCGGTTCAACAGATATAGTGCGGACACAGAATTTGGAATGGATACAGAAAAATTGGTCAAACTTGCGCTCTGCACATTACTCATCATGATAAATATTGCTGTAGTTTCCATTTCCGTCCACCTATTCTGAAGATACAGACCGGACACGAAAACTATTAACAGATGGGCGAACAGATTACCTGGCGCATAACATTATTTGAGCATACAAAAACACACGCGTTAATATTTCGTCACCCATCAGTAAAAAAAATGAAACTAATGAAATGCAAAAATGTGAATGCTAGTTATTGATTAGCTGAGTGAAAATTCGAAATGATCCTGAAGCCAAGCATTGCTTAAGAGAGCAAATCTTAATCATAATGAAGTTTAAACATTGAAACCCTTTACTCTTTGGTGACGGTGTGTATGAAGGAATATAATTTTTCAAACATTAATTGCCGTATATCATATAAATCTAATAGTGTATGTATTCTACGGTACAGTACACAGGGTTTAATCAAAACAGACATGACATGAAGTTTTAATTTTAGTTTGATGTCCTTAATTTGAATACAAACACTTTGATTTCAGATATTGTCCCCATTTTAGTCCTCCTCTATTGACTGTCCGTTAGTCGACACCGTCCGTAAAATTAAAATAGGACAGAAATTGCATTATTTCAGGCACGAATGGGCACCTGGGTAGAACGACCGAAGTTCCGTAAACTAGCTGGATAGCTTCCTCACATGAAAAAAAATCCAAAGTCCCTGTCGGGTTTCGAACCCATAAAGATAATGATATTTAAAAAATGAAATAACTATCTCAGCTCTCATGGTAACTTATGTTCAAGTTTGAAAATAGACATTTTTCTTGCATGACGACTTTCCCTTAGCAACGGAAGTATTGTTTATCGCATGCGCGTTCTGTGTTGAGCAAAAATCTACGACGATTGCACAGGGACAAAGCAATTTTATTAACATGTATAATATACTCTCAATTTAAAAGATAGCAATTTGAAATTTTTTGAAACCAACCCAACAATTAATTTTGTGTACAAAGTATATTACCACCATGTTTAGGCAAAATATTTCACAATCATTTGAACAATTTGAGGCGTTTGAGAGCTGCAGCACCCTTTATATCTATTTTAATTAGTTAAAGCTTTACATTGCTTTTTTATCACTATCTAAATCTGGGTAGACTATATTCCGATGTTTGAATAAATAGTAAAAAACTTACTAGTCAACTGCAAATACTTAAAATTCCTTTTAATATACCAGCGTTTCGGCTGAATAGCCTTCTTCAAGGTATATACATAATTCTAACACTATCGGAAATTTTTCTATATAGACAAAGAAGGCCCGAAGCGTGCATTATTCTGCAACAATGCACTCGCCGTTCATATTATCTCCCTGTGTATTTTCACATTGAGGGCGCCATTTTGTTTGAAAAATCTGATAAATAAAAACAATTTTTTGTCGAATTTTGTTGTGAAAACTATCTAGAATGATAGAAAATGGTTTAACTAAGAAAATAAATCCGAACACCAATATCTTTAATTCAGTCGTTAACGCTGTACAGACGTTTAAAGTGTTGTTTACGTGACGTCACAATGTAGCGCCAAACAGCACGTGCAAAACAATCAAAATCAAGTACGCTATTTAAACGTCGCAGACAAGTTAAGTTTTACATTTATTTCACTTTTAATAATTTGTTTTTCGCTTGGAAAATTATAGACTGAAATAAAATAAACAAACAAAGTTTTATCAACGTTTTCAAAATTCGTTATTCTCAAAATATTTCTACACACGGTAGATTTAACGACAGTTTTTTTCAACCCACTGGAACGGCCTTTAAAGAACGTTTCTATTGGAAACTCTGAGGCGAAAACAAATTTAACCGCCAAACATAAAGTCCAACTTTATAACAATTATTATATTTTTTCTTGACGTGTTAGAATGGAAATAGATATTAATTCTTCGTGCATTATTGTATAATAATGCACGTTTTTCGTTCAAATGCTTTGTAATTAATCACTCAGGCCTATCAGCCTTCGTGATTATATTACTACGCATTTGAACTCAAACCGTGCATTATTCTACAACAATGCACTCAGAATTGATATCTATTTCCTAAATAATAAACAATAAACAGGAAATAATGGCAGCGTCGCATGACGTCAATAGAGACGACGTCAAAACGTTACAATAAGTTTGGCTTCAATTTGTTGCATTATACTAGTGAAGAAAGCAGTTAAAGCGCAAATATTAAGTGAAAACACCAGTTAAACTGACTAAGATAAAAACTACTTTTAATTAATTGACAGATATGTTAAAATAAACACATTTTATGCCAATAACTTGAAATGACATTCACAGTTGAACTTTGAACTTTTTTTACAGGAAGCACAAGCGTTTGCGGAAGAGAATAATCTGATATTCACAGAGTCGTCTGCTAAAACTGGAATGTGTGTGGGAGATATTTTCATGGCGGTCGGTAAGTTCATGTCCCATAATGCAACAGTCAGTTGTACCCTCCTGCATTGACTGTTGGCGCCAAAGCAACATCTACGTATTGATCAGTCAGTACAGGGACAGGTGTAAAATATGTGTCCCTTCCCTCCTATTCCATTACACTATTGGGCATCATTGAGGTAACAACTGACTGGGGCAAAAGTAATTCAAGCCCAAAAACGTTGTTTTATTTTCTAGAGAAATGACGTAGTAAATTGGTAGATGTTACATATGCAAGCTATTGGAGACAGATACTATTTGATGAACATTCATTCGGTTATTTGAAACTTTGACATTTGAAGTTTACATTGTTGTGAATATTTCGCTTAAGTAATTGCCAAGCTGGTTTCATTTGGTTTATGCAGAATTTATTTTAGTTCGATTATGGAGGAAGCAGTCTAGTCCGACGCGTTAACCAGTCGGCCATGCCGCCATTGCATGGTGTCATTTATTTAGAATATAACAGACTTTTACGCATTCTTAAATCATACATGTATTTAGACATATCTTTTTAAAGTACATTTAATGATGCATGAGTAGTGTGTCACATAGTGTTTAAATAAAGGGAAGTAACCTGAAGAGGACTGTTATAATCTGCAGAGAGTAAACGTCTCTTCAAAATGTATCAATAAGGAAAATAACTTTATGTTCATTTCATTTTCCAGCGCAAACTTTAGCAAAATTACGACCTCAGTCGGCGGAACCGGAAGGAAAAGGTATTAAGCTCGGCAAGGATTCTGGGAAGAAAAAAGATGGCGGCTGTTGCTGACAGACGGTCACATGTTTACAGACGTGGCTTGTTTTATTTAACGAATAAAACGAAAATGTGATAATTATTCCGTGAAACATATTTAGTGTTATTTTGTACTTTTAATTGTGGAAACTAATACATTCCATTGTTAATGCTTTGCATTTTAGTGTTTTTGTTTGCATGTGAAGTGAGATTTGAAGATTTGTGTTGTATCGCCATTGATACTATATTTAGATGTTGTGCTGCGACGTTTTTCAAATATGTTTGGTTGTAAATAACTAATTTAATTTGGTTAGCAGTCTGTACTTTTGATATCCGTTTTGTCAGTGTATGATTTCATAATGAAATTCAAGTAACAATGTATCATATTTCCGGGAGCAATGAAAGCGAACAAGTGTCTGATACTCTTCCTTGATAACTTTACTACATGTATTCGCATTTCATTTCCCCGATTTCTACAAGTCTTGTAAGTCCACGAAAAAATAAAAACCATTGACTTAAAATATATTAATGAAAATATTGAAACAAATGATTAAATGATAAGTTAAGAACATTAC